ATGATTCGTACACTGACTACCGCATGCATGTGTATGGTGTAACCCCATTGTACCCAGTCAGCGGATCTTATGCTCCAGTGATGGTCAAGAATCCTGGCCCCAAAATGGAGCCAAAAAATTCATCTGGCAATAGACAGTGCACACTGGAGAATTCTTCAGCCTGCAAAGCATACTTACAACCCAGACTATACAATATGGAGACTATAACTATCATTAGACCAGGACAGAGGGAGCAACATAAAGCTGATACCATACATCATCACTGTCACAGACCAAGAGCTTTATATAAAGGTGAAACACAATATCCCCATAAGACTGCAGAGCTACAGTGCAAGGAAAACCATAACAAAACATCTACCAAAGTCCATGATGTAGCATCAGCCCAAGTAACAGAGCATGTTGAAAGATGGAAAGACGGAATGGTTTCCCAAAGGAATGGAAAGCTGAAACCCCAGAGGTCATTTAAACCTTTCGATGTCATCAGTAACTTTATCAGCAAGACCAGAAAACACCGAACAAAAGAATGTAAAAACAGTCAGAAAAATGGTTGTAAGAGGAATGTTCAAGATAGGAATCATGGAATTTTTCATAGCACTGATGGTGGACGTTCGTCCCATCCCATGGTTGACAGGGATACCATTGCTGAGATCTTTAAGCATTGTAAAGTAAAAACTGGACAACTGCAATGTAGTCAAAGTAACCAAAACAAAGTATCCACACAAACTGAATACAATATTGATGTGAAAGATGGCCAAATTTGTTTTAAAAACGCCAGGGAGGATATAGCTGGTCAGTCTAGGTTGTTGACGTCCCAAGGATTGAGTAACCCTTGGCAGGCTGCAAGGATCCCCAGTGGTCAGCTACAGGAGACCGTGAGGTACAAGAACCATGTTTCTCGATACTTTCAGAAAGCATCTTCTCGTGTTAGGTCAAAGGACATAAAGCTTGAGAACCTATGGAGCATGCATTCTGCTGATCAAGATTACTGGACCTACTCCGACGTTCAAAAAGAAAAATTACAGAACTCATTTAATCAGGAGAATATTGTGCAGAAAGGGCATATTTCAGATCACCGTCTGACTTTGTGTAGAGTAGAATCTTCCCAGAGGCTGAATTTGAGTGAACGATTGCATGAACTGCCTATTCAGAAAAACTATGTGATGAACAAATTCTTGTGTGATGTCCATCACATCAACAGTAAAAAGGGTCAGTTGTCTGGTGTCCAAGGACAAGGTAAGACTCATGACATTGTTGACCCTTTCTGTTACTTCATCCTTGGAACATGATTCTCGGGCACTATTCCAAATTGTCATCACTGTCTGGAAGGATTTGTTGGCAAGAAGTTGGACCTTTAATTGAAAATGTTGATAAAGATTTACTTTTCCTGAACTCTGCTTGTCTAAATGACATGATCATGTGGAAAGTAAATTTTCAGTATACTGACTTAATGTTACTGTTTTTAGAAATATAGCAGGCCAATGTTCTGTTTCTGAAATAGAGCTCTGTATTATATGATACATATCTTGCATTGATGTTTTTCTTACATTAAACATAATGGCAGAAATGACAAAAAAGTATGTTTTTATAAATCCTATGTTTGGGCATTTGAATGGTAATATAAAGATGAAAAGTGAGATGGACTTAACAAAGAAAGGACTTATCAGTAAGAGTCTTTCCCTGAAAATGTACAAAATAACTGGAACTCTATTTGAATTGAAGAAAGCCCAATCCTTCTTGAAAAATCCTGCAAGATAACAATAAGTTATGTTTCACAAGCAAATGAAACATGAAATACAAAATTTCATAGTTCTGTTATGTTTTTGATCCCTGATTTTGCTAACAAACAGATGATTGAACAGCATTGTGACAGCTTTGATCAAGAATAACTTCATCATCACTAAAGCCAGTGATGCCCAATCAGCTATTGGACAGTCTCAAAAGAAATTTGGTTGTTCTGAATGAGTAGTTTGGGAAGTTGGACTTGAAATAACTCCAAACATTGGAAATAGTTAAGTCTGATTACATACTTACAGAATCTATTACTGGTGTTTGACCGAATTATTTGCTGGTAGCTAGCAGCCCAATTGGGTATTAGTCAGATTGATTCTTCTGTACAGACAAGTGTAGCCAGAGGTTGGCAGCCTGACCCTGCTCATTTGTTGTTTGCCTATCCAATAATAAGATAAGTTGTTGGTCAAGCTGATTTCTGGCCAGAATTGAGGTCAGAAGAATTGGTGTGGTCATCCATAATCCTGGACTCTACGTTCACTCAACATTAATGAATTTTCTCTGCCATGACAGAGCAATGGTCAGTTTAACGTGACAGTAACCATCAATTCTGGTAATGGGCAGTGCTTCATTGTTTATGTGTACTCCAATACTAGCTCCAGTGTTTTGTTTATATTTGTTGCAAGAAGGGAATCTCCAGGGAATGCTCATGTAAAAAATTTGGGGATAATGATTTTTCTGTTTGAAATTTTATAGCACAACTTAGCTTCTGTTATCAAATCAGTGGTGCAGTTATAACATATGATATGGATTCCGTTTGAAAATGATAACTCAAAAATTTTGATCAATAAAGTAGGATCATTGAAAAAAAACTGATGGCCAGTGATGGGAGTATTATTTTGTGTTGTACTGAATACTGATGCCTGCTGTGTAGATGCTGAAACTCAATGTCTTCCCAAAAACATAAATGTTGCCTTCATTTTAATTTGATGGACAATAGATTAAAAATTTCAAGTTGTCCAACTGCATAGGCAAAACAAGTTAAGGTGTTATTCAATTGAACAATAATGACAGGTACAGAAAAACAGGACCAATGTGTGGAACATGTTGGAGATTGTCTGTCCTAGCTGTACATCTCCACATTTAGAACTCTACCAGAGTAATACTATAGTTGTGCATTGTGTCTGTTGATCCTTCTATCCTTCTATCCATCTTTTCACTATTTTGTCCAGGCTCTATCTCCTACACTACTTGTCACTGGAATTTTATGATTCACCTTGGTGAGGCAATGTGTCATGTATCATAAGTAAGCCACATTTACCTCTGTCAAATCGAAAGATTTGTTTTAAATATAACGTCACATTTCGTGAATTATCTTGTTTCTTGTGAAATTGACACAAACACATATTTCAGAAAATATTTTTTTGTTAACCACAGGAGATTAAGAAATATGAAGAAAAGTATAAATTAATATTTGACCTATGAGACCACATTTTGAGCTCTGCTTTCATAACCATTTTCATATCAGGTTCATTTGTGTGTACTGCAGAATATTTCAACTGGGCTACACAAAAGCAATGAGTAGGCTGCTTGTTTAAACATCTTCATGCAAAGACGAAGTTTGTTATAAAACATTGTTTCCCCTGCTGTTCACCTCAAGTGCTCTAAAATCCTTTAACTATCAGGACAGTTCTGCTGAATCAACATTATTTTACTGATGTCTTCACTTTTCCTGAAGAATTCTGTCTGCCATTGATTTTACTGTTGTCTTCAGAAATATCCTAGACAGTGCTTACACATTGAAGCATTGTTTTATAGCTATACATGATTATTCCTTGTCTGTGACTACCTATTACATATCTTTAGATACAGATTTTCTCTATTTGACAAGACTGGAATTATATCACTGAATCTGATGGAAATTTTGCATGATTCCATCTATCAGTGAATTTAAATCTAAACACAAAAATATTTGAATTTGAATTTTATCAAAACAATAATGATATAAACAATAATAATATGAATCTCACAGTTTTTTTTATGTGATCTAATCGTAATTTTGTAATGACAATGAGATCAGTATATCTGTATTGTTTCATTATACAAGTACCAGCACAACAACGAGAAGTAAAGACAGTTTTGAATTTTACTGGAAAGTCAATTGATTCAAAGAAGAATTATTGGAGTGTGGTTCATTCATTAACTGTTAGGACCTGTTGAGAAAGTGATTAGGTATTACTCCTACTCCATACTAACTCTGACATTTAGATGTTAATGCAGCTATATGGCACAAATGGGACACTCGATTATTCCCACATCTGATTAACCAAATGGTTATAATAGGACCCATTTCACAATTCACCACATGTTAGATCTTAGGCAGAAACTCTTACATTCTTATGGACTGACAAAAGTCTGTATTGACAGTTGTTGGGTCAGATTTCATGAAATTAGATTTTGAATTTAAATCATAATAAATATTACCATTCCCATATAAAATGGTCATGATGTCCAAGTGAGTAGGAATGGGCTTATGAGCAAATCTGCCCTGTTTATTCTGAAATTCAGACTCAAGTCGGGTATGGGCTTATTTCAGAACTTAATTTAGATTTAGTTTATTATCAAACATGAACTTACGGCTTAGGTATTTGATCAAACTGTTGGGATATCCGATTCACCTATCAAAGAACAAAGCATGTTTTGTATCACTGGTTAGAGTTAATGCATTTTAGCCTTTGGGGAAAGATACTCACTTAACTCAATAGAAGTTTAAGCAGTCATGTCAGCTGCTGGAACCTTTCCCAAGGTCGAGAGAATCATATTCTGAAAATAAGATTACATAATCCCAGCATATAACGATTAATTTTTATGAAAGTCGTTTCCAATATCATTAGCATTAATAGATACATTGTGATATACAGATGCAACACAAATTAACAGAACAAAACAGATTTGTCCAATATTAATTCAGAGTGTTCATGACTTAATTATGAAATCATATTAAAATATAGATGTAATTGCTTGGATGATTTTAGAGCAGAATTTTCACTGGTTACTTCCATTTATGACTTATTCTGACTAATCTTAGTTAAGTCATTGGACTGTTTCATTTCTCTGTTGGATTTTGAAGCTGTTTTAGCGAAACAAAACATGCATTTGCACATGCACAAAAAAATTTTCTATGCATTAAATTGTTTGAATGCAATACTTGTAAGAAGAATAGAAGAAAAAAAATTGTTAAAGGTTACAAATTATTTATTTTTTCTTTACAGGGGGATACCATCCTGTGAAGATTGGTGACCTTTTCAATGGGAAGTACCATGTTGTCCGCAAGCTAGGATGGGGACACTTCTCAACAGTTTGGCTTTGCTGGGATATGTCGTAAGTATGGAAGCATGATGGGGACACACAGGCATAGAAATGCATAGTCAGGATTAAATTCAAGTGTTAGCAACATGGAATATGTTCCTAAATCTTGTAAAAATTAATTAGATGATGTGAAGAGCAATGCAGTTGATTATCCATGTGTAAAAATATGTAGTTTTACCTGTGTAAACAATGTGATATTTGGTGATTTAGAAGGAAAAATTTGAAATGTATGGATTTCAAATTGCAAAAATTTTTAACAAAGTTGGACATCTATACTGTGTTAATTAATGACTAGTAATGATCATTGTATTCTTAATTGAGGCATGGAAAAATGTCAGGGATAAATTTTTGTTCGCTCTTTTCGTGGAAAAATGCGAGACTTCTGTTTAAAATGTATTTGAAACCTACCAATTAGCGTTTTGTTCTAGTATATTACATTTGATTTATTTCTTAAACAAATTTTAATGATGGAAATGATTCATAAAAGCTTCAGGATCAGCTAGTGCTCTCTATCTGGAAGATACAATTGCATTGTTGTTATGTAATGGTGCAAACTAAAAACCTTCTCACTGATGTTTTACAGATAGGTTTTCAAATCGATTTAGAAAGTTTGTGCCCTGAAATTTGTCTTTCGTGGCTAAGGACAGTGTATGTGGTAGTTTAATGATGTTTATGTGATAATGAATCCATGTAATAAATTCCTCTGCTCGTTATGTGGTGGGTGCTTCGCCTCTGTTGATTGGTATAAACATTAGTTTTCATTAGATTTTGTTGATTAGTGGAGTGTTTCCCTGGTAATTGTTGTGGGTGTTTAACTGTCTTGTTTAGTTTTAATTTCTCTCTGAAACCATTATGTATTGCGGATATTAACAACTCTGAGGACACGTCTGTACATTTGGTAGGTTTTTGCTTCACTCTTTGAAAAAAAGGACAAAAAAATGTAGAATATAACTTGGGATTAAACCATGAGTCGAAAAGGTTTTAATTAAAAATGGAAAAGCACTGATAAAACCTATTTAAGTATAAAAAGATTTGTTAGCTTGCAAATATTTTTGACAATGCTAAAAGTAAGTGAAAATAAGACCCTAAGGAACACAAATCAGTATATGAAATTTTGACTGTCAGTATGTATTTCAATAGGTGTGTGATAAAATTTCTCCCACTTCATAATCTCTAGTGGGATTTCTGATAGCTATGGTGACTGGTCTTTGTTTTCTGCCAGCTGGTGTACCTCTATATGTCTGTAAGCCTGGGGATGTGTTAGACAGAGATAGATAAGTCACAATCTTGCAAAAAAAAAAAATGAAAAAATAGTATACAGCTGTAGGATTGATACTAATTTAACAATTAGTAAATGGGTTTTGATGTTATTGTCCAGACTTCTTTCCTGCTTTATCTATTTTCTTAAATTGCTGTAAAAAATTTAATTATTGTCATATTTCATATTATTTCTGGAAGAAACATATATTGACATATATAAGCTTGACTCCCAAAATGGTAGGAATGCCACAGAAATCTTTTTTTGTAAACTTGTTTGATGAACAGCAGAAGTTAAATATATATATGAACACCAAATATTTAATCTTCATTTAATGTACTTTCAGAAGTTTGGAAACTTCTAGATAGTGGAAAGAATTTCGATTTTTTATCACGATGGAAACTTTTTGGTTCCATTTCTGTCCTATCTGACATCATACTTTTGAAGAACTCTATTCACTGTTTGAGTTAATGTTTACCATACATGTAAATTTAAATGCTTGAATGCCTGGAGGAAGTGTATTTGCACCAGATTAATGCTATTTCATTAGCTTTAATTGTGCAATTTCACTGTTGTTTTAGAGAAAAGAGGTTTGTGGCCCTGAAGGTAGTGAAGAGTGCCCAGCACTACACAGAGACAGCGGTGGATGAGATCAAGCTGTTGAGATGTGTGAGTAAACCCAATCTTTATAAACCGATATCATACACATTATTCTCAAATCGTTTTAAAATGTTTGAGTAATGTCACTGTCACCATTCACTTCATACTTTAATTGCAACACAGGGTTAGATATGTACCACCCACTCATTCTTCCATCCCCTTGTCACCAGAGACCGTCCATAATACACTGATAGTTATGTCATGCTCTTTCATCTGTCAACAAGTCTCCTTATACTACTTTATAAAATATTTCAGTTTTTTTTTTTTTTTGAAAAATCATTTCATTTGTCATCAGGACTTTTATCTTCTGTTATGCTATATTCATATATAAATTTGATCGAGAGAAGAAGTTTATTGGGCTTACAACATTGAAGAGCTTTTAGAAGCCTGTATTGGATAACATGGTACCAGAAGTAATGTGACATGATGTTTTGAGTGTATGATACTAGAACCAGGAGTTCAGGGGAATTGTACATATATCTCATGCACTGAAATGTGATCTTCAATGCGAAAGCCCATATCAATCTTCTAACGAATGTTGTTGATGTGATCAATATTTCATCAAATTTGTCTTGCTCTGCAGAAATAATATTTCAGGAAAGTCAGACCCACAGATATTTGTATTGTGTTAGAGGAGAATGGGTATTCATAAGTTAAAATGGAAATTTTATATTTGCAGGATGTTTTATTTGTTATAACATTCTATATAGAAATAAACACCAAGGCAACACTTGATTCAGACTAGCGGCTTTTACTCTGCAAAGAGGTCTTCAGGTTTATTCTTGAAAAGACAAAATGATGTCATAATTGATGTGACGTCATATCATACTAGGGAAAAAAATGGCTCAGTCTTACTGTGGATGGTTGACTCTTGGTTTAAGAATTTTTATCAACTGATCATTCTGTTCTAACAGAATTTTATTAGAAGAATATAACTGACATTTATAGGCAATTCAGTGAATTTATCACTGACACAATCGTGAATTTGTTTATCAACAAACTGCTCTGATAATGGACCAGTTTAAGGTTGTTATCTTAAACATTACTTGTTTGGCTGAAATAAGATTCATTACATTTAGAACAAATTGTAATATAGATTTATTTTATTTATATTTCATGTTAAATTCATTTTGAATTTTAACCTATTTTTAGAAACAGATACACTGTAATCAGTTACCATAGGACATATACCAGAGCTGAATGTCATACATTTGGACACCTGACAATTCACACAAATACCAAATTAAGAACATACGTTTCAATTATCAAGGTTGTTGATTACTGAGTATAAAATTGTGTGTTTGTAATATTTCTGTTACAATCACAATACTCTCTTGGTTCTTCATAGTTGTAAGTAACCACATATTTAATAAAGTTATGTGGCTTAAAAAGTAGTCTGTTTATGATAAAATTATGCAAGATAAAAGTTTATAAGAAAGGATTTTCTCACTTGTTTTTGTTTTTTTGTTTTGTTTTCAAAGCTAGAGTGTAAAAGCACCCTTTTTGATAACTATTCACATTTTATCATCTACATTGGATAACACTGAGCTTTGAGGAAATGTTTAAGCTGACATAGTCTGATAGCTTTTACTAGCCTCTTACTGCTTGTACTTGCCTCCCACTAACAATCAAGATAATTCTCAAGGCAGGATTAAAAAGGGATATTAACTTGGGTATGTTCACTATGATTAAAATGAAAATTGAAAACATTGTGTGCGTCTATCATAGCCTTGGAATTGAGATCAGTTGTAATCTTCCCATCTGGATTAAGTTGGATTAACTCATCTAAAAATGGTAATGATGTTGGTATATGTATATATAGTGATTCTTAAACAAAATCATGAAGGTATTAATTACACTGTGAAAAGCTGAACAGCAACAGGTGTACTGTAACAAATGAAATAGTTGGCATTATAGATGCAGTTGATAATGAGATTTTACAGTTCAAGTCACTATTGAAGTCTGATGTGTTTGACTTCTTATGATACAAAGGTCAAGTATGACAACACTTGAATGAGTTAATGTTTCAAGGGTTCAAGATCATTGAGATCATTACTCTTTATAGAAAATTATAGTTTATCTCACTATGGGTCTTTCAGATCACTTTTTGTCTGTGGTCTCCCATCCGTTAAACTCTGGGTCCTCAAATGTAATTCTTGTGATCTTGCATCACAGATTTTCATAACACTCGAGCAACTGGAGTATAGGTTCTAGATGTGCCTATCGCTACCACATTTTGAGGGTATTCAAGACAGCATTGTGTTTCATCTATCGCCATGTGTAAAATTTTCATTCAAATAATTTTATCTTAATAACCAAAAGGCTCATGGTACTGATAATGGGCCTGAAGCCTGATGGGATGAAGGGCTACCAAGATAGGAAATATGAATGACCTTGACCTGCTTTCAAGGTCACATAGGTCAAATATGTTTAAATCTTTTAACTAATTCTTCTTAATAACCGAAAGGCCCAGAGTGCTGATATTATGCCAGTAGCATGCAAGGATGAAGAGATACGAAGTTTGTTAACAAGATTGCCCTTGACATGCTTTCAAAGTTACAGGGGTCAACTATGCTTAAATGTTTAAAAGACTTGTTCTCAATAACAAAAAAGCCCAGGTTGCTGATATTGGTACTGTAGCATGATGGAATAAAAGGCTACCAAGTTTATCTTATAAATAATCTTGACCTACTTTCAATGTCACAGGTGCCAAAAATGAAAAAAAATCTTTAAAACAAATTCTTCTTGGTAACCAGAAGGCCTAGGCTGCTGATATTAGGCCTGTAGAATGCTAGGATGAAAGGCTATCAGGTTTGTAAATGTAAATGACCTTTATCCACTTTCAAGGTCACAGGGGTAAAATATGTTAAATCTTTAAACAACTTGTTGCATGCTTTTTCAACACATAATCTGTCCACAGTAATGGCACTTGTGCAGAGCATGTATAAAGAATATGTTTTCATGTTTGCAGAAAAAGTTTTTATGAACCAACCAATATCTTCTATGTAAGCTGTAGTGTAGATGAGCAATCTATTTTAGACCTGTTTGTGCTCCTTCATATATAGGTCTTTATAGTCAGATGACCATTAAGGTCTGTGGCCCTCTTGTTTAATCTTGGAGGTGGCTAACAATCACCTTTTTGAATTTTGTCATTTGATTATTATAATTGATTTAATTCAGGAACTGCAATTTGTGGGGTTTCTGTGTGGGGACTTAATGTGCATGACAGAATCCTAGTTGGTTTTTATCATATGATAGTATCTGAAGTCATCTTGTTACAAATGACCAAGTGAAGGACTTTACAATGATTAGTTTGTTACAATATGATCAACTGTAAATTGAATCTATACCCTGGTGTTTTTGGTTGTAAACATGAAAGAAGACCATGTCCCAGATGTATGATGGCATTGCTGATAAAGTTGGAGGTGATGGGGGTTTTAGCCTTGTTTGACATTGCCAAGCACAGTGATTAATGATGTGTTAGGTATATATGTATGGATGGAGCCTTGGTGCACTAAAGTCAAATTTGTATAGAGGACAGTAAGCAAGGCAAGCCCAGTAGACTTTGGTTTCAGTATATTGACATGTCAAGGTATTTATAACTATGCTGGGATGGTAGGCTGTAAATTAGCATCTAATATGAGTATCTGTTTCCTGAATTATATCAGGAGTATCCATTGTCACATGTACATTGTCTGTACGAATATGAATTGTCTGAGGTTTCTCGAGAAGTATTGTTGTCTGCTATACAGTATCTGTATGGCAGTTTCCTTTGTCTTATATAAAGTGTCTCTATGAGTATCAATTGTCTAGGTATGTTTAAGTCTTAAATATCTAAGTCAGTATAATTTGCCTCGTGTACAGTATATGTATGGCAGTATCCTTTGTCTTATATAAAGTGTCTGTATAAGTATCACTTGTCCACAGTATCCTAGAAATATCCTTTGTTTACTGTGAACAGTGTCTGTATGAGGATCACTTGTCCACAGTATCCTAGAGATATCCTTTGTTTACTGTGTACAGTGTCTGTATGAGGATCACTTGTCCACAGTATCCTAGAGATATCCTTTGTTTACTGTGTACAGTGTCTGTATGAGGATCACTTGTCCACAGTATCCTAGAGATATCCTTTGTTTACTGTGAACAGTGTCTGTATGAGGATCACTTGTCCACAGTATCCTAGAGATATCCTTTGTTTACTGTGAACAGTGTCTGTATGAGGATCACTTGTCTACAGTATCCTAGAGATATCCTTTGTTTACTGTGAACAGTGTCTGTATGAGGATCACTTGTCCACAGTATCCTAGAGATATCCTTTGTTTACTGTGTACAGTGTCTGTATGAGGATCACTTGTCCACAGTATCCTAGAGATATCCTTTGTTTACTGTGAACAGTGTCTGTATGAGGATCACTTGTCCACAGTATCCTAGAGATATCCTTTGTTTACTATGTACAGTGTCTGTATGAGGATCACTTGTCTACAGTATCCTAGAGATATCCTTTGTTTACTGTGAACAGTGTCTGTATGAGGATCACTTGTCCACAGTATCCTAGAGATATCCTTTGTTTACTGTGAACAGTGTCTGTATGAGGATCACTTGTCCACAGTATCCTAGAGATATCCTTTGTTTACTGTGTACAGTGTCTGTATGAGGATCACTAGTCTACAGTATCCTAGAGATATCCTTTGTTTACTGTGTACAGTGTCTGTATGAGGATCACTTGTCCATAATATCCTGTATGTCCTTTGCCTTGATAAATGTGTGCTTATACATGCATTTTTGATGTTACTGATGGATGTCCATTTTAATATACCGGTAATGTGTTTTAAATCTGGTTAAGATTTAGTGTTAAGTAAAAGAGCTTGATCTTGGGGAGTATTTGAGGAACACATAATAAAGTTTGGGAATTCTCATATTGATGAAAGCTTTCCTGACCTAGTACAAGTGAATCAATAATATATCACTGTGTCGTGATCCAAGTCATCATGATGTATCAAATTGTCTGT